TTTTTTTTTTTTTTTTTTAGCTCAGCATGAATATTTTACTATGTCAAGAAATTTACTTCTATAAATAGTAATTCAAAAGATTGCCTGACTGGGCCAGGGATTTAGCTCAATGGCACCATGCCACCTTGCAGTCGCAAGGTCCTGAGTTCAAACCCTGGTACTGGAAAAAAAAAGACTGTCTGATTAATTCCCCAAATAACTAATCTCACTCATCCTAACAGCTTACTTCAACGGAGGTACAACAGTGAGTGGTAAACGTTATCCTTAATATATTCAGACATGATAAAGAAAAAAAAATTTTTTTTGGTACTGGGGATTGAACTCTGGTCCTTGTGCTTGCGAGGCAAGCAGAGCGGAACCACTGAGCTAAATCCCCAGCCATTGTAAAGACATTTTCATAGTGAAGGTCTCTAGGCTTATCAAAGTTTTCATTCTCAGCAACATGTCACACTGTAGGAGGCTACCATAAGCAGGTTAAACCATGTCTGTTGTACAAATACATCTATTTTAAGACAAGGTAATACATGGAGTTTTAGTGTATGTTATGTAAAAACAGTTCTATTTTTGTGCCTAGATCAAGTTTTCTGCTTGTATAAGAGAGTACACTCAGAACAAAACTTGACGTAATTTAGAAACAAGTAAAAGGTTTTATATCCTTAACTATTAACAAGGTTTTAATCAAGCCCCAAATCCCAGGAGAAGGGTAATATGAAAATATTTCTACTTAAATGATTAAAATTAATATAATGGCAAGAAAGATGAATACTCATTTTATCAGCATTCACTATAAAAATTCCTATAAACACTATAATTTGCAAAATATATAAATTAGTGATAATATAAAATAAACAGTGTTTATTTTATATTGCCATGGTAACTCTAATTTTTCATACACTGTCTTTCTTGTTTGAGTTCCATACTGACTGTGTTCCATACTGATGATCCAATGGGGAAGCCAAAATCTTAGGGGCCAAATCCCTCCATGCAAGCTGAGGAAGGTGGTTTAGGAGGACACAAAGGGGTGGACAGTACAGAAATTGGAAAAGGAGGAAATTAAGTTAGTAGATATTAGTTTTAAAATTAAAGAAATTATTTTTATTTGAATAAATTTTAAAACATTGTGCTTAAAGGACAGTACGAATGTGGGATAGCTATTTTCATATAGTATAGTATTTTTACATTTTTATATAACTTCTAGAAAAACCTATGAAAGGAAAAGTTTTGCTAACAGTATTTTTCCCTAAAACTGAAAGAGGGATTTAAAATTCTCACCTATTATATAAATAAAAGGCAAAAGATTTATATGATCTGAAGAGAAACCAGAGTAATCCTATTGTACAAATAGATGAAAAAAAGCTATATGTGAGTGGAAATTTTTTCCTTGCCACAAACAAAACAGGGAATAGCGTACACTGAATGTTATACAGTGCAGAAGAGAAGAAATCAAACTCATAAGTAGAACTTGCTTTAAAGATACAAATGCATTAAGAGTAAAAGTAATCAAGGCCAAGGATTTTTGCCCAGTGGTACCATGCCTGCCTCACAAGCGCAAGGTCCTAAGAGTTTGATCCCAGGTAGCAAAAAAAAAAAAAAAAATTGTAAAAGTAATAAAAAAGATCTGATGCCTGAATAATCCTAAAAATTTACAGTTTAGTGATAAATATCTAATCAAAATTTATATACAAAAACCTTTTAAATAATTTATTTAGTGATCAAAAGCTGATATTCATTTACATACTATACATGTATGGACATGTTTCATACAAATAGTATGATGATTCTTAAAAGTAAATATGTACAAGATAAAAGTAAGAACAGTTTACTACTTTGAAACAATTTTAAGTGCACTGAAAAAAGTACACATTTTATATACCTCTCATTGGGCAGAATATCAGGAGGCACATCTTCAGGTTTACTGTCCAACTCCTTCTCCTTAAACATCTGCTCCTCAGCTTCAACTTGGTTTTCATTTCCATTCTGGTTCAGTTTGTGTAAAGGGAGAGAGGACAAAACAGAAAGGAAACCTGTCATCTTGGAAAGAGCACGTCATTCTTCATATTGGTACAAGGTGAAACAGAACCTTCTGTGCACACAGTAGACACTGCTTGAAATAATATTTAACTATATTTTATCTAGAGATTAGCAGTATCAAAATGAGATAAAACATTCCAGTGCACAGAAGAAAGAATTTTACTGCATTCAAACTAATACATGTTATATAATGCAACAAGCTGTTCCTTGGTGAAACAACAGTTGCTACTATAACAATGCCAGATTCAAATTACCTTAAACAGAACACAAAGTATTTTGACTCTACCTACCTTACACGTCTTACATGAAAGCAGTCACAAATATGTTAAACTCAGCTATAAAAACACATCTTACACCACCAACAAGGAAACACAAATCCTACTTCATGGCTGATCCATTGCTCCTAAGCAGGCCGAAGTCCATACTACCTGTGTTTGCGTACTGCTGTTGCGCAGCTCACAACACAGCTTCTCTCTTCCAGCTAAAGACAGCTGCTTTAGTGCTTCCAGCTCCTCTAAAAGCACCCTCTCTCTCTCTGAAACCAGGTTTTCATTATCTATTGAGGATCTCTAAATAAGAAAAAAAGTCATGAGAGAATATTGTTTGCAATAGAGAAAGAGCAGAAACATTAAGCAGACTTCTTTTAGCCCCATGAGACCAAAAGACCTTGGTTACATCTATGATTTGTATTCCATTTTAAGAAGTTAAAAGGCATATACACAGTTCAATGCAAAATCTGAAACTTAAAAGAATTTTCTGTTGTTGTTTTTTGAGACAGGGTCTTACTGTGTAGTTCAGGCTGACCTTGAACTCACTATGTAGCCCAAGATGGCCTTGAACTTGCTACGTAGCCCAAATTGTGGCAATCCTCTTGCCCCAACCTCTGAGTGCTAGAATTACAGGTGTGCATCACCATGCATGCCCTAAGAAAAAAAAATTTAAGCTTAAATATTCAGGAATTTGTATAGTTCAACTGATACTTTTATATGTCAATTTTGCATTGAAAATTCAGAAGTCTGAATTCATAAAATACAATGAAGAAAAGCAAAAATGATTTTTCCAAATGATATATTTTAATCTCAAATTCAAATTTCTGATTGTTTTATATTTAAAAGAATTTATATTAAGAGTTCTCTATTTTTTAGCTTTTTTTTTTTTTGTACTGGGGATCAAACTCGGAACCTTGTGCTTACAAGGTAGACAGTGGCACCACTGAGCTAAATCCCCGGCCTGCTGTTTCTTAGTGCTTAGTTTTATTTTATTTTATTTTTTGTTTGTTTTGTTTTTTGAGACAGCGTCTTGCTATGTAGTTGAGACTCACCTGGAACTCACTTTGTAACCCAGACTGGTCTCGAACTCACAGAGATCCTCCTGCCTCAGCCTCCCGAGTGCTGGGATTATAGGCATACATCAGCACGCCCAGCTGTGCTTAGTTTTAAAAATTAAATCTAATAAATTTTTTTTCATAAGAATGTTTACATAAGTATTTCTTGCTTTTCTTCAATGACTTTTGTTAAGTATATTTTATACAGCAATTGACAAGAATTGAGCTCCCAAACGCCACAGAATGTATTTAAATTTAGGCAAGAAAGTAATAAGAATGTTATATAAAATTTGCATTTGTCGAATCAAATAGAGACGTTTTCCTAGAAAAAGTTCCAGAAACATACTACTTCAGATTTTCACTCATGATTAGAAAGGTAGATTAAAGGTAGATAATGGTAAATCTTGGAGATAATAACTGGTAGACTCACAGAACTAGCTATAAATGAATATGGAAAAACTGGATGAAAGCAACTGTCTACTGAAGGGCTTCAGCACAGAATATTTCCAAAACTGTCAATGGAATGACTAAAAGCAAAACAAAACTAACCATGTAGCCACTTTCCCAGTGCCTGAAAGACAACGCACACCACATTGTACCTGACAAATTCTAAAGCTGGTGTGCCACTGGAGTGTACTCTTGATAAATATTTGTAGTATATTCAGATTATGACAAAATAATTCTGTCGTTAACGAAAATCTACATGAAGAATTATTTTAATTGGAGGGAAAAGGGACTCTAAGTCCCGTACCTGGGCTAACTGTCTATGAAGTCTCTTAATCTCTTCTTGTAGCTGCTCCTGGTCTTCTCGCTGTCTCTCCATCTGGCGCATGTGTGCCTGCCTCAACAATTCTGTTGCCTGCTGATGTTCTTCATACTGTCGCACAAGTTCCTGCCTCATATCTTCCAACTGTTCTTCATTTAACATCAGCTGTCTAGAAGCGTTCATGCTTGATACCAGCATCTCATCGTGGGTCTTAAACAATTGAAAAAAAATTGAACTAGCTTAGCACATTTTGTAGAAATTTATCTGCACTGATAATTTAAATAAATACAAAGCATATTTCTAACTCAATGAATCACCTTATTTTATTAAATGAAAGCATAAAAACTCTCCAGAGGTACCTTTGTTAATGCATATTTGACAGAGTAATGAACTCTGCCGCGGCGTTCTCACAGATGTGCATGACTTATCTGCAGCACATCCTCCCCATACCTTCTCTACTATTCCTTCTCCCACTCTTGATCCCCTTCCTCTCATCTAACACTCCCCAAACAACAAGAACTTAGTTTATTACCGCTGCGTTGTTTTCCAAAAGGAAAGCAGCTATTTTTCAGTTAATTTTAATTTAATTTAAATCTACTTCTAAAGAAGAAAAATAAAGATGCTCAAGATTCCTCCTCCTTTTTTCCTTTTTTGGTGGTGGTGCTATTAGTAATTGAACTCAGGGCCTTGCACATGCTAGGCAAGCACTGTATCACTGAGCCATAGCCTCAGCCCTCTTTATTTAAGTTTCAGTCAGGGTCCCATTCAGTTGTTCAGGGTGCCTCAAACTTGTGAGCCACAGTCCAGGTGGCTAGGAGTACAGACTTCCACTACCACACCCAAACTCCTTCTACTCTTCTGAAGCTGAAGCTCCATTATGCCTCTTGACATTTCATGGTGGAGAAAAAATATGAATACAACATTCATGCCTTAAAATTTAATTTATGAAACATGAGAAACTTTACCTATCTGATTTATATTATACAGTGATTACCACAATACTACAGAGATTTGGTAAAAAAATTTCAGTGAGTTTTTATTGGGAAATAAAAACTTTATATATCAGTTTCTCATTAAGAAATTGATTTTTTTTTTGCTATCAGGGATCGAACTTGGGCCCTTGCGCTTGTGAGGCAGGAGCCGGAACCACTGAGCTAAATCCCCAGCCCAAGAAACTGATTTCTTAATGGTCCCTATGAATACTTCTATCCCTGAAGAGATAAACAATTCTGAATAACAGCTGTTGGTAAGTTAGAGAGGTTTTCATGAACCTCTTTAACATGCACAAATTTTATCTCCCATAAAAAGCTGACAATTTTATTCAAATATGCCTCCAAATAAGATATAATATATCATGAATATTAGTAACACATTTTCATTCCGATCACTTAAAAGAACTTATTATTTTCTGTTAACATCAAGAAACAGTTGAGATAATAGATCTTCCACTAATGAAAAAAGAAAAGAGAATTAATACATCAAGCATGATGGCACACACCTATAAACCCAGCTATATGGAAGGCTGAGGCAGCAGGATTCCAAGTTCAGTGCCAGCCTGGGCAACTCAGAAGCCCTGTCTCAAAATTTAAAACATATATGGGAACAGGGGAGCTGAGGTCGTAGCTTACTGGCAGACTGCTGCCTAGTATGTGCAAGGCTCTGGGTTCCATTCTCAGCAAAGCAAACAGAGATAAATGAGAAAAGGAGGAAAGGAGTGAGGGCAGTCAGATAGCATTAGCACAGAGACATGAAAGTGGTTTAGACTGTCTTCTTAAGGAGGTAGCCACGGTAACTATTTTCTTATATGTTCTTGTACTTACTGAGCAAATCTTTTCATCACAGAGATAGTCAAATTATATATAAATTACTCTTGAATTAGTCCAAAGAAATTAGTGCAGGTATATGTTACAATGAGATTTTAACATGCTCAATGTCTCTAAGACAAGAATATTACAAACCAGATTTTTTTAATACTAATACTGTATCACTTAACCATAGACTTTGCAATTAATAAAACCACTATAATTTGAATCATAGTCAAAACCAAACTTGATACTTTCACAGCCCAATAAGCATTACTTCTACTACTTTTTTTTTTGGTACCGGGGATCAAACTCAGGACCTTGCATTTACATGGCAAGTATAATGCCACTGAGCTAAATCCCTGGCCCACTGCTAATACTTTTATAAGCTTTTTTTTTTTAAATCTAAAAGAGCATACTTACAGATTCTCTGACTATAAATGCTTCATCTTTAGAGAATATTTCTTCTGAAATAGTCAGTCCATGGTCCTTCACTTCTAGCACATCATCAAAATCATCATTATTTGGTAACACAATTTCCTTTCCATTTCCTCCTAACTCTTTACTAAGTGGTTTAGACTCTTTTTTAAATTTCATTTCCATTTCCTCAAAAGTTTGAAGACCAACTTGACCCTGTGATAATTTTCTTTCATTAAAACGTTCTTCTTCCAGCTGACAGAGAGCATATACTTGTTTTGAAGATGTATTTTCATTTCCCCCAGATAGTCTAGACAGTTCAGTTTGTTGGGCAAATGCTACACTCATTGATACAATGACCTAAAGAAAAATGAAAAAGGATTTGATTTATAAATACCTGCAGAAATTTTTAAAAGTTACTACTCAAAATTGTACACATTAGAAAAAAGCTTGGCTTATGGTTTTAAACGAAAAGAAATTCTATGTTAAAGTGATATATAGAGAGATTCTCTATTTCACAGTGAATATAGTATCAAAATATTTATTTCACTGCCTGCTTTTTGGAATAAAAACATTTTTCCTACTACAACTGCCTTAAATGTTCAATATAAAAGCTAGAAAGCACGTCTTCACATTTCTTTCTTCCAAGAAAGTTTACTGTAAACATATTAGTACATTTTTATCAAACCTTGTTCCTTTTCTATACATAGAGATATAAACAGATGCTGATATACATTTTCCTAACAAAAAAGTGACCATACTCTAAAGCTGTAATTATTTTTTTCTTTTGGTACCGAGGATCGAACTTGGGACCTTGCACTTGCGAGGCAGGTGGCAGAACCACTGAGCTAAATCCCTGGCCCTCTTTAATTGGTTTCTATAGCTTTTCTATATTTAAACATTATTTTGAGTTAAGAAATACATTTCTATATGCTTTCCAATGAGTTCTAAGATTCATGATACACAGATGCATTATAAAATTATTCAATCAATTCTATTTAGATTTATTCCATTCTTACACTGTTTTAAACACCACCATGAAATCTATACTTGTATCACTGTATACATCCTTTCTTTTTTCCTCACAGTGAAGTGGGACACTTGGCTTGTAAGACTGGTAAATAGCTATACACTTCAATCTAATCTGTCTTCCCACTGCAGTTATGATTAAGAATGTTTACTCTCTCCTAACTAGGTGCTTTGAAATTCTAACCAACGAGGGCCAGGGATAGTATCAAAAAACCAAAAACCAAAAAACAAAACAAAACAAAATTCTAACCAACAGTCTTGGCTCTGACAAGCCTGTCAGATTTTGAGAACCAAATGTAGCAGTGACTTTATTCAAAGTACCACCTTTTATTTTATTTATTTAATTTTTGGTACTGGGGATCGAACTTGGGTCCTTGCACTTGCAAGGCAGGCGCCAGAACCACTAAGCTAAATCTCCAGCTTTTTGGGGGTTCTTTTTTTTTTCACCTTTTAAAATAATTCGTAAAAGGTGAAGGCTAGCCACCAAAAGCCCACGATAAAGCAGGATTAGAAATCTTTGTGTCTACTGACCTTCAGCCTTCTCAAACTGTTCTTGTTAGTCCAATCACATAATTCAACTTTGCTCTAATTTCCTGATTTGAACCTGATTTATCTATCTGAGGTCCTGATTCTACCTGGGTCCTGCTAGCCTAATTCTTCCCTGATGCTACATCCTCCAGAGGCTGAATGAAATCTTGCTTCAATAAAAAAAAACAATGATGATAACAAGACCAATAGTAATAGAAGCAGCAATCAATAATTAAGACCAATTACTTTATTTAATCCTCATTATAAACTACAAGGTAGGTATTATTAGTATTATGCTGAAATAATAGATAAGGAAACTAAAGAGGACAGAAATTAAGTAATATGACTCCAAACTACAAAGCAAATAAGTAACCAAAGATGGGCTTTAAAGTCCTGCAGTGTCAACTCACTTTCTAAAATAAAATACTGTATTATTTCTGTGTAGTTTCAAGGCAAATGCTGAGAAAACAAATGCAACAAGATCAGAAGCCATGAAAAAGGTCATTTACCTAATCAGACAGAAGAAGTTTGGTAATAAGTTCCTGGACACTGACCGGGAATACGTGTCCATTACAGTCAAATGTCAAAAGATAGGGATACAAGACTTAGTTAACAAAATAATATGACTTGTGTTCCTTCTGGGCAGCATAAAGGAAAACCACAGAAGCCTCTCTTTTTTATTGATAACAATTAAAATCTGTGAACAAAATAAAAAAGCAACCACCAGAGAACTCTGAAAAGTAAACAAAGGCATACAGAGTTCAGAGGAGAGTTAAAGTCTTAGAAACAATCTGTATGGAGGTGAAACAGGACTTACGGACTAAATCTAGCTGGATTCACTTCATGTTTTTAAAAATTCATTCTCCAGAATATTAAAAGGAGACTAACGGTTTACAAAACATATCCTAATCATTCAATATACATTTCAAAATTTGATGATATATAATGTATTTTTTTTCTGAATTTACTATCAGCATACCTGTTCTAAAATAATTGCTTAAGAAAGTTTTACAGGCTGAAGAGAAGTAACACTGAAGGAAATCTGACATTTAAACAACAGAACACAATCTTTTCCAGTACACATGGAGGAGCATTCATTCAAATAAAAATACACTTAAAATGAATTTAGGCTTTTTTTTTTGAGACAGGTCTCACTATGTACTTGAAATTGGCCTGGAACTAACTCACTATGTAGCCCCAGGCTGGTCTCAAACTCACAGTGATCCTCCTGCCTCAGCCTTCCAAGTGCTGGGATTACAGGCGTGCGCCACCCCGCCCAGCAATTTAAAATGAATTTAAAAGAACTGAAAACACATGTGGTACATTGTTTGACCACAAAGAAAAAAATGTGTCAATTAAATCAGCAGCAAAAAACTATCTAAAAATTCCAAAGATACAAAAACCAAACAACATATTTAAATAGCCCCGAATAAGAGGAAGTCAGTCACAAAGTAAACTACCATCATATATTTGGACTGAATGACAATTAGTGGAATGCAACTTTAGCACTGCAAACAGGCAAGCTTTAATGCATAAATCAGAAAAGAAAAAAGATCCTTTAGAAACTAGAAAAAGAGTAAGTTAAATCCAAAGAAAGCAGAAACAATCGCTTCTCAGCCTTTTAGGTTAAGATCAAGTGAAAGCAGAAACAAGAAAATAAAGATGAGAGTAGTAATCAATGAAACTAAAAATGAAAACCATAAAAATAACAATGAAACCAAAAATTGGATGTTTGAAAATATCAATATATTCAATAAGCTTCTACCAACAAAAAGGGAAATTAGGACTAACGGTTTTACAAACATTAATGTTTATTAAAACACAACTGCACTTACAACTGGTAAATCTCATATTATGTAAATTATACCTCAACAGACACAATTATAAACAAACAACAAAAGCCTGACATAATGATAGGCCACAAAAAAGCTGTTGAAATTTTGAAAAACCAAAGATGATCACTTTCTTTTGTATTTGCATTTAAATTAGGAAGGAATGACAGAAATAACTTTAAGAATTGTATAATTTGTATAATGATTGTATAATCTGTATAATTATTGTATAATTGTATATTGTATAATTTGTTTAATTTAAGAATTGTATAACTGTATAATTTGGAAACTACAAAATCACCTTCTTATTCCCTTTTCTCTTCCTTGTACTAACAAAATTCCACTAGTGCCTACAACTATCCTCTACCTCCCTTGTGTCTTTGAACCTGAACTTAACTATGGAAGGAAAAAATCCAATCAAGCAAACTGGTTGTACTTTAAATTCCTACCAATATCCTTGAAATGGGCCCTCACAGATACTAGCAATGATTCCATTTCCCATTTCCCATTTTCTCATTCACCACCACCCCCCAGCTTCATATTTTTTGAGAAACAATTAGAAAAGAACTTCCACAGGCTCCAACTATGGCATCTGAAAACATACCTGAATAATGAACCAAACATTTTACTTCAAATACAAAGACCAAAATACAGGAAGGTTACAAAGACGGGGACAGATCTCATGCAAATGGGACGGGGTTTTGAAGACCAAGGGCGAGAGGAGAGGGGGAGGGGAAATCAGTAGACTAAAGATATGCCGTGTACAAAAACTTAATCAACTCGGGGAATGTAAACACTTTATGTCATAAACCTGACATGAGATTCAACAAACAGGAGAATGGGGAATGGGGAATCAGAAAAGGAGGGAGGAAGATGGGAGAAAAGGGGATTAAAAAAGAACCACATTATATACATGCAACCCAAGATGCTTGCAAACTGCATGCACTGCAAAGATGTACTATAAAAAAAAACTCCAAAATTTTCTGCTTTCTTCCTATTATTACAGATTAAATTGCCATGCTCCTATCTAAAGGAAATCCCCCCAAAAACAAATCCCCTCATCCACTCAAGGACCCTGATCCACAACTGCTTCTGTCTCTTCTAAATCAGTTGTTTTCCCCTCCTTGATCTTCAATTATTTTTATTAGCATATAAATAGATGTTATTTCTCTCTTTAAAAAAAACAGCAACAACACAAATCTACCATCTGACTGTCCACATCACCCTTTTGCTCCCACTATATTTCTCTGCTTCCTTGTAAGTAAAACTCAAAACGTTCACCTCATTCCCCCCTTCACACTCTCACACTTACTCAGTCGTCTCCACCACACCCTCAAAAGTGTCCTTGTAAGTCACTCTTTCACACTGTGAAATCAAATGGCTAATTGGCAGTTATAATCTTTCTTTACCTATCAGAAACAACCAACGCAATTTAATACATTCTCTTCCTAAAATATTTTTATCATGTTGTTTCTATAATGCAATTCTTTTGTTTTTTCCATATCTAATAAACTGCTCCTTTTCTGTCTCCTTTGCACTTCCTTACATCTCTGGTCTCTAAACCCCGAGATATTCTTTTCTTAGTCCTTAGAAGCTTTTCTATCTATATTCAATCCGTATATTAGTATTTTTCAAAAGTTTTTCACTGAAATAGTTAATGTACACACATATACACCAACAAAAAATACATTTTATATTAAAAACGACCCAAAGCATACATAATATACTTCCACGTTATGTTTCCACAGCTGAACTTTTCCATCAATACTAAAATCCTGGTCTCAACCCACTAATTTGATTTCATGACTTAAAAATACATTGCAACTAAGTTTGAAAAACTGCTTGCTATACTAACTCCACATTTAAATTTTTTATTTTTTCCTATTACCTAAGTTCTAGATTTATATATCCAACAACATCAATATTTACACTGTATTTGGACATTTAATAAGCATTTTCCATTCAATGGGTCAAGAGCTGATGTCTAAAGTCTCCTACTCCTCTGTAAAAATGACTCCTTTGCAGTCTTTTATATCCTATTAAAGAACCCTTTCTAAAGAGCAACTCCATTTTTCCAGCTGCTCAGGTCAAATATCCTAGGTTAATATTCACCCTTCAAGTGTGATCCCTGGTCCCCTTTCTCTGTATTTCTTCCTCCTGTATCTTGTCATACCTGCTAAGGAGATAAATCTGTATGAGGATTTCACAATATTGTAGGAAACAGGTCCATACATTAGGAGATTTCAGAACTGAATCAAACTCAATTCAGAATTGAGTTAGCAGCTGGGTAAGAGACTTTCCGAAATTGTAGCCAACTTTCATTGTTATCTCTTGGAGATGCCTTTTTCTTTCTTTCTTTCTTCCTTCCTTCCTTCCTTCCTTCCTTCCTTCCTTCCTTCCTTCCTTCCTTCCTTCCTTCTTTCTTTCTTTCTTTCTTTCTTTCTTTCTTTCTTTCTTTCTTTTTGAGACAGGGTCTCACTATGTAGTTGAGACTGACCTGGAACTCCCTATTGTAGCCCAGGCTGGTCTTGAACTCAGCAATCCTCCTGCCTCAGCCTCCCTAGTACTGGGATTACAGGCACGCCCGGCTGGGAGATGCCTTTTAAGAGCATGTCTTGACTTTTCCCTTTATTTTTACATTTCCAATTCCTTAAGGTCCCCCAACCTGATATCCATAATTTATTCCATTTCCTTCAGATTCTCCTCTGATGCCATTCATTCATTCATTCATTCATAGACAGTCTTACTATGTAGTTCAGGCTGGCCTTAAACTCACTATGTAGCCCAAGCAAGCCTCAAATTTGTGATGATCTTCCTGCCTCAGCATCCAAAGAGCAAGAATTACAGGTGTGTGCCACCATGTCTGGCTAGTCTATCATTTCATTTTTTAAATGAAGTCTTCCATGACTCCTTATGTAAAACTACAACTCATTTTCCATGGATTTTCCTAATCTTGTTCCCTGGTCATTGTTTCTTTTTAGTATTCATTGCCGTCTGCATCCAGATGTCTAGCTATATCAAGTAAAATATAAGTTCTGCAGGAGCAAAGGTTTTATCTTTTTCCTGCTATACCCCAGTCTTCAGAACGCTTGTCTGGCAATAAAGCATAAATAAATGTGTATTTTCAGTAGTGTGTCTCTAAATCACAGGAGAAAACTACTGTAATCTATACTGGGAATTACTCCTACTGGGCTTCTTCTACATGGCCTGGGCTTTGAACAAAATGGTTCCCAATCTTTTTCTAACAACATATTTGAGGGTATAAGGTATAGCATAATCTCATCAGTACCTGTCAATAATCTCTATTATTCTAGGACTGAGCTGGGCCATTGGTGTTGTTGTGCAGGCCATAATATAGTATGTATGCATGCATGCGTGTGTGTGTGTGTGTGTGTGTGTGTGTGTGTGTGTGTGTATGTATGTATATATAGTTTTTTTGTTTTTTTTTTTTTTGGTACCGGGGATTGAACTCGGGTCCTTGTGCTTGCAAGGCGGCCACCAAACTACCGAGCTAAATCCCCAGCCCCCATAATATAGTAGTTTGGCTGTCTTAAAAAGTTTTCACTGGCTTGTAATTTGGTGTTCTGCTTTCAGTACAGATGAGTAACTGCTTTGTATCTTTACATTACCATTAAGAAACTTTTCTAAGGTCACACATTTAGCAAACCAGAAGAACAAGAACTTAAATTATGTTATACACAATATCAAACCTTGTGTTAATTACTGTAGTATCATGACCTTATATAATAGTTCATATGAAAAATTTATGCAGGACTTAGGCAGAAGAAAATATCTGCATTCTTAGAACCAGACAATGGAAGTTATACAACAATGATACAGCCTCACTTTTCACCACACCCTCCAGGAACTAACACTGTATGCTCCACTCAGACCTCATGGCCCAGATATTTCCTTGGGTCTTGATCTCCTTTACAGTTTATATCTAAAATGTTCCCCAAGGCCTCATGTGCACACAGGCAGTGATTTTGGTGACTGGGTCGTGAGAGCATGGATTAGCACACTGGTGGTTTTATACCTAGGTATGATGTTGGGAGGTGAAGCACGGTGAGGAGAGGTGGGTCAGTGTGGGTGTGGCCTGGAAGGTTGTGTGTGTGTGTGTGTGTGTGTGTGTGTGTACATATACATCCTTCCTCTTCTTCTGACCCTGCTCTGCTTCCCACCTGCCATGCCATGAACTGTTACTCTTCTGCTGTGCCACTCTGCTATGCCCCATCTTAGAGCCAGTAGAATACAGACTAATGCTATAAACTGCGAGCCAAAACAAACTCTTGCTACCTTAGTGTGGGTGTCAGTTACTGTGTTTCAGCAATGAGGAAGTAATGAAAACATATTTAAGAGTTTATAAGAGTGACTCTGGCATACAACTGAGACTCGAGAGACAAGCAAAAATCCACATTGATAAAACATCTCCACTTAGCCAGGAGCTACTTGTAACAGTGTTCTGTTAGTATCTGTAGCTATTATCTGATATCACAGTAACTTCTCGGGACAAGCTAAGCAAAGGACAAATCACTTTCTTTTTTTACCTTCTTCTCTATTTCTAACGGAAGCCAAACACCTTTACAAGGTAACTACTCACAAGGCAACAAATATATATACTTGTGAGTTTCTAATTAATTCCTGTATACATCGAAAAAATAAATTTCTTCTCAAAGAAAAACTGACAGAAAGTTCCACTTAAAGCAATCATAGTTGATCTCATTTGACAACTTAAAAGAAGAAATATATATGAAACTTATAAAAACAGAGTACATAAAATCAGTAAAATCTGTTTTTTGAAGTCTCAAAGAGAATATAAATCCAGGTACTCTTTCATATAAAAAATAAACTTACCTTAGCTACTTCTTCTTCCAATCGTTCTTGGTACTGTTTTTCTAGCAACTTAACCATATTTGTGTCTCGCTTCACTCCAAATTCACCGGAAAACTAAATTAAAAATCAAGCAAAATATGACATATTTAGTTATACTAATTGTATATTAGTTATTTTCAAGGTCTATTCTAAAAACATCCTCAAAGCATCACTATGTCTTAGAAAACTTCTGGATACTCTCAGCAAAAAATAAACTTTTGTTTCCCTTTAACTAAAAGCATTAATTCTAGTGAGTCATTTTCCTAAAGTTATATTGTACTGCTGTGAATGTGGAAATACAGTATAAAAAGATAAGCATATTTATATATTTATAATTATCACCATAATTCTAATGTAAGTTAGGGATATTTGAATACAGTGATAAGACATGTATATGCATATTTCATTTGAAGTAAAATGTTCAATAGAGGCTGCTTGCTCATATTATAAGTTCCTTTTCTTGGCATATTTCAATAGCATTCAGTTTTCCACAATTACAAATTATTATTATTATTACCATTATTATTGTACCGAAGATCAAACTCAGGACCTTGCGCTTGTAAGGTAGGTGTGGCACAGCTCAGCTAAATCCCCTACCCACAAATTATTTTTATAAAAGTAACGCTTTTTAGAAATGTAAATATATTCTCAGCATGAAAGTATTTATTTACTGATTATTTCAGTTTCATCCAAATAGATGTTCCATAAAGGATGAGTGTGGAAGAATCAAGAATGTGGCTAATACCTCTCTCTAATATTCAGAATAAAGACAGGCAATAAGCAATTATCCTTATTTTCTGTAGGAGTTAGGAGCTTAAAATTTACTAAGTGAAGATGAGTACTAAAGTTTTGTAGTTGGAGGTTTGAGTAAAGTTTTGCAAATCAGCAATAATACAATGTTAAGGAGAGGCAGAGAGTAATTTAGGTAGATGGCATCCTTGAAAGGATGAGGAACTTTTTTATATCATAGGCCTCTTGAGAAGGAGGCTTTGTCCACTATCCCAGACTTAGCATCTTGGATTTGGGGAATTCCTAAATTTTCTAGGATGGCTTGGTCCCACTTCCTATGATGGGAAAAAAAAAAATTATGCTGGTCAGAGTACTTAAACTAATTTGTTATACAGCCCACAAATAAACAGTTATGAAAATAAGACAAAATTTAAACCCTTAACATACTTAGGGAAAATTTAACTTTGTTTTTTCTTATGCTATGAAAATACATTAAATTTCTTTATATAGTCTAGATCTTTTATAGTATGCTTACTTCTAGAAAATATTTATTGGATAATTACTAAGCCACAGAGAGAAAAATGAAAGTTAAAAAAATCGCTGTAATCAACACTTTAAAATAAATATTAAATGGGCTGGGATTTAGCTCAGTGGTTCCGCTGCCTGCCTCACAAGCGCAAGGCCCCAAGTTTAATCCCCAGTAGCAAATAAATAAATAAATATATATTAAAAGTATGATACCTCTATCGGATCATCAATATTCTCCTTTAGATAACTTCCAGCATATACTGTTTTCTGTCCATCAGATTCTTTTATTACCGTTGAATCAACGCAAGAGCTACATATAAATAAAAGAGGATGAAGAAATTAAAAGTTGTATGTATTTTTTGCTAATATTTATTCCATGCATAAAGAGTACTAGGGCAAGGGAGACAAAAATGACATGTCAGGGTTTACTGCTATTGTAACAATTTATATTTTTGCCAAATTTTTCCATTTAAAAGTAACACAGGGGCCGGGGATTTAGCTCAGCGGTTCAGTGGCCTGCCTCACAAGCACAAGGACCCAAGTTCAATCCCTGGTACCAAAAAAAAAAAAAAAAAAAAAAAAAAAGAGTAACACAATTGAATTATGCAGGATTTTAACATATCACCAAATGAATTGTATGACATTTTATAAAGGCTACTATAAATTATGACATACAGCTATTTATAGGTACTGGTACTTTTTTTTACAAAGGTATCTTAGATATGTTGAGGTAAAAAAGGTAAAATCTCACTTTAACTTTACTAAAACTTATTTTTAACATACACACACACATCATAGGAAAAAGTCTGGAAGAACACATAGCAAACGTTGCAGTGATGATTACAGAGGCAATAAAAGAGTCTTATTCTACAGAATTACTTTTGGACTTTGTTTTTACTCTATTCACATATCTTTTGGTATTCATGTCTGCATTCTGGATTCTACACTCAGTACTTTATAAAAATGTTTCTCTTAAAATGCTTGATCTGCCAGGCGTGGTGGCACATGCCTGTAATCCTATTTAAGAGGCTAAGGCGAGGAGATTTTTAAATGTGAGACAAGCCTGGGCAACTTAGTTAAGACTCTACCTTAAAATAAATAAAATAAAAAGGACTGGGAATGGGTAGGTTATCAGTACAGTGCTTGTCTACCATTTGTGATACCCTGGGGTCCATTTCTACCACAAGGTAACAAATATATAGACATATGGGTTTCTAATTAATTAAAACAAACACTCAAAAGGGTTAATCTGAGTAATAAAAATGAGGTAAGATTAGTATTTAAGAACTATGAGGGGGAAACATTTATTTTTGCTTTGGGCAAATATAATTCTTCCTGCCATTTTAATGTGCATTCACCCATGCTGCCTTCTTATTCCGTCCTCCTCTTCCTTACATACTGTACTTTCTCCTGTTGTCTTCCACCCTTTCCTTTTCTCCAAAACTGACCATATACAAACTCTACCATTGTCCCAGTTTATTACATATAATTAACCTGTATGGATGGTCACTTGGTTGTTTCCCAATGTTCATTATTACAAACAATGCCATAAGATTTATACAACTATATCTTTACATCTTTTAATGTTTACAATGAATACTGGATAGTTTCATATGATAGAATTTTAAACTCACTATTAGAAATTTGAGGGGCTGGGGATTTAGCTCAGCGGTTCAGTGGCCCGCCTTGCAAGCGCAAGGACCTGAGTTCAATCCCCCGTACCAAGAAAAAAAAAAAAGAAATTTGAGTGTAGTACCATATTCCAAATTATTTCACTTTCGTAACATCATTTGAGTACTTTCTTAAAATTACAATAATATGTGGTAATAATCTTAAAACTTTGCTAGAGTTAAGTGTTTTGATTTGTGAGGGTAAACTTTCAAATGCTACTGGATATTTAAGTTTCTCTTCTGCTGTGAAATGTATATTCATGTTTCCTGTTCATCTAATCTTTCTAAAATCTTCTCTGCCCTTTTGTGGTTCTCTTAAGTTTCTCACCATTTTGCCTTTTTTTCTCACTGTTCCTTCTATGCATAATTCTGATCTCTGCTTTTGTATCTTAATTCTTATTTTCATAGCTGTGAACACCATTCTGATTATCCTCTAATTTGACCCAAACTCCAAAAAATACTACTTCGTCCACAATAACTTGATTCTGTGAGCTTTATTGTCAAGTGAAAAAAATAATCTAACACCAAACTCACTGCTCCTGTCCTACAATGAAGCACCTACCTACCTTGCTTCTTGATGTCACTACATTAATGTGCCATCATTCTCCATATTCCATAGGCCCAAATAACACAGGATTCTTTCTAGTTTTCCCCTATGCACGGATCTCAATACTCTTTCCATCAAAATGTTAGCATATTCATCCTTTATTTTCATTTCCTTGGTACCACTGTAGAAGGTGGTATTACAGAAATCTTCAGTAAATATTCAACACAGTCAGTTTAAACTCAATACAACCTTTAGTTGTATCACTAGGTTAGAATCCCCAATTGCACCCTTTTAAAAATTATTTTTGAATAATTAGGTCAGAGATTATATTGAAGTCCTTGAAAACAAAGGGCTACTTTATATACATCTCATTCTTCCTCAGCAATTAGACAAGCCTCTTCTCAATTACTCATTTAATCTTCATGATATTAATGGTAATTATTATCTTTATCACTACTCATAGATGTTTAAAGATTTGCCACTTAAGGCTGGGGATTTAGCTCAGCGGTTCTGCCACCTGCCTTGCAAGCGCAAGGTCCCAAGTTCAATTCCCAGTACCAAAAATATATTTGCCACTAGTCATAAAACAAGTAAAAGTCAAAGCAGGGGTCATTTGACTTGAAAACTCATGGTCTTTCCAAATCCATAGTATTTTTCTAAGATGGTCCAGTATGACATTATCAAATGATTATATAATAAATGACTCAATTATTTTTCCTAACCTATTTCAAGTTTGCTTGCAAAGAACTGTGTAAGTATAATTCAAAATGTGATACAGTCGCTTCACCATATGACATTTTAAAGAAATAACACACTAGTATAAGAATGAACACTCCAAGGAGTAAATTTCTTTTTTGAGAGGAGAGGTAGTGAAACAAGTTTTAATTGAAAGGTTTTGGCAACACTTCACCAGAGCACTACAGCAAAGGTAGTGAGGTAGGAACAAGCCTAGTAATCCTAAATTTCCAGAGACCTTCCATTTCTTCATACATTTGGGGATTTCTTAATACATTTCTTACTCTCTACCTATTTTCTTTTATATCATAAAGTCTAAAGCAGTAATTTTCAAATGCCAATGTACAGGCTGTGTATCTCAGAATTATCTTTTAAGAAACACAATTTTCCGTTTCTCTCTTGACTCTAACTCTCCAAATGTACAACCCAATAATAAGTGATTGTGAATACACACAGCCTCTGGAAGAAACTAGAAGGTTTATAAGGCTGTACCAATACTGAATGAACAATTCCAAAGCCATACATAAGCTCTGAATAAAAGAGGGACTAACAGACTACTTGCAAAGAATCATGGGCAATTCCATCAACAAGTGCCTATGGAGACATCAGTACTTGAACAGGAGTCAGCCAAAATTAGATCAAATCTAGAGGGTTTTTATATTATTTTTTATTTTATTTTTCTCATTTTTCCTCATACCCCTTCTCCTTTCACCCCTCTAATCACCCCTATTTACAAAGACTTTGTTTCCATTTTTTCCTTTTCTCATATTTTTTTCTTGTCCCTTATTTCCTTTCCCCTACCCTTCCCGCTTCCCCTACACCTTTAGTCCTTTTCTTCCCATTTCACATTAACAGTTATACAATTTGGATCTTATTTACACTTTCAGTTTTTCACATGTGTGTCTTGTTTATTTCACATAAGAGTATGGCCTCAATATGCATCCATTTTCCTATGAATGATTCTACTTCCTCATTCTTTCTGGCTGAGTAGTATTCCATTTTATAGAAAAGCCACAGCTTCTTTATCGAGTCTCCAACTGATGGGCAACTGTTTCCAAGTTTTAGCTATTACAAACTGTACCACTATAAACATGGGTGAGCATATATCACTACGGTATGACTCTTTTTATTCTTTTGGGAAGATGCCCAGCAGAGGAATAGCTGGGTCAAATGGAACCTCTAGTTTGAGGTATCTCCATATTGATTTCCACAGTGGCTGCACCAGTCTGCATTCCCACCAACAATTGAGAAGGGTTCCTTTCTCCCCACAGCTCCACCAACATTTGTTAGTGGTCTTTTTCTTGATAGCAGCCATTCTTGCTGGGGGGAGGTGGAGTCTCAGTGTTGTTTTCATCTGCATCTCTCAAATGACTAGTGACGTGGAACATTTTTTCATGTGTTTATTTGCTGTTTTTACTTCTTTGTCTGAGAAATGTCTGTTCATTTCAGACACCCATTTTTGAATTGGGTCTTTGTATTTCGGAGGCCTGATTTTGAGTTCTTTATATATTCTAGATAATAGTCTTTTGTCTGAGGAGAAGCTGATAATATTTTTTCCCACACTGTGGGTTGTCTCTTAGCTCTGTTGGTGGTTTCTTTTGCAGTGCAGAAGCTTTTTAATAAGATGAGATTCCAACTGTTGATTCTTTTTGCTAGTTCCTGCGCTACTGAGGACTTGTTCATAAAGTCTTTTCCTATGCACATGTCTTTGAGAGTTCTGCCTAACTTATCTTCCCGCAAGCTCAGAGCTTCTGTTTTAATATTGAGATCTTTAATCCACTTGGATTTTAGTTTAGTGCACGGTACAAGATAAGGGTCTAGTTTTAAAGTTTGGCAGATTGAAATTCAGTTTTTCCAATCGAGGGTTTTTATAGAGGTAATTATACACTAAAGCACACTTCCCAACTAAGGTATAAACTATTCATTTAACAAGTATCTATCAAGCATCTACTATGAAAATATTATAGATATCTAGAATATATCAGTGATTTAAATGGACAGAGACTACTCTTCTACAGTTTAAAGTCTTTCTTTCCTTTTTTTGTTTTTTCAGTACTGGGAATTGAAATTGGGACCTTGCACTTGTGAAGCAGGTGGCAGAAGCACTGAGCTAGATCTCCAGCTAAAGTCTTACCTTAGAGACAAATAATAAAGAAAATAAGAACAAATAAACCCTCTCCAAATTTTTATATTGGATAAATAGTATATGTTTATATACCATATAAATAACATATACTGTACATATATACTTAAAATGGATCTATTTTCATTTTAATATGGAAACAAATGAAAAAGGCTACAGGCTTCTAGGGAACAATTTTAATTTCCAGAAGATGATCAAGAAAGACCTCACAAGAACATGAAATCTGAAAACAGACCCAAAATAAGTGGTAAGTGTTGGTCATATAAATATCTGGAAATGAGCATTCTAGATAGAGGAGCCAATGAAAAAACCTTAAACCACGAGCAAACCAATCCTTTGAGGACCTTAAGGAGGATGTATGGCTTGGGAATAGAAGTGACAGACAAGTCAATAGGTGATGGGGACTCACTGTATAGGACTCAGTAAGATACTATGAGAGCAGAGCAGCACTGAAACAATGTGGCCTGTCTTCAGTTTTTAAAGGAAGGCCTGGCACCTGTACTGACCAGGCTCTCCTGAGAATGATGATGGCAGGGACCTGTAAATTGGTGGGGAATGATGTACTTCAAATATACACTGAGGGCTTGTTTTTTTTATTTTTTAACATTTCTTCATTGGAAGAGATATAGGAGTCATGATAAATGGAGATAGCTGTGAAAGATGTGAATTTTGAGAAGATCTGGAGTTACTTTGCTGAAGGTGAATTTGAGTATTAGACAATTAAGTGGAAGAAATCCACCAATAAATGCAATGATCATATCTTACATTTCTTGGGTATTAATAGCAAAGCTTAGGCACAGAATAAACAACAAATACATGCCATAGCTTGTGGTAATCCAGAAGATTAATAAAAGTATCTCTATGAAAGTATAAGTAAAATTTCTTAAGTTATACTTTATTCTTAAAATGATCATTACAGAAGATACTATGATTGTTACTAAGTTACAAGTACTGTTGGACAAAATTCTAAGTAGATAAATACCTTGGTTGAACTCTGAGCTCACTAACAGCTTGTAGCCTCTCCTGCAAAGACTGAATCTCTACCCCATGGTTTTCTTCATTTTTTTTCAATTGTTGATGTAAAGAAGATATGAGGTTTTCTAAGTCCTGAACTTGTTCTTCAAGATGTTTCATTTTTTCTATATCTTGCAGGGAAGATAATGTGCTTTGATGATTGACATCTATGTTAAAGGAAAAGAAGAAAATGCACATTTCAATACAATTTCTTAGTGCAATAAGAAAATTATTTATGTGTGTAGAAAATAGTCATTCTTCCTTGAAAAAAATGTTTTTAATGATAGTTACACGTTGCAGTTTGATTTGATCTGATTGACAGAAACAAGAAAACACAAATAATGTAATTCAAGATAATTTCTTCCAACCTCTGGGCTGTAGTATTGCCAAATATAAACATTTTATTTCTTTAAATTTAAAACAGTTTAGAAACATAAAATATAAGAACCAGTGACAGGGACCAAAGAAATGAGTAGTCCATATACTTTCCATTTTAAAGATGAGAAAATCAAGACCAGAGAGATCAGTGAAATGTTCAAGCTAAGTTATCTCAAATTTCAAAGCAAAAAACTGCAAATTGTTGAGTATTTTGTATAAAACCACCAGAATGAGGCATATAATAAAAACTTACTGGGTCAGGGATTTAGCTCAGTGATTCTGCCACCTGCCTTACAAGCGCAAGGTCCCGAGTTCAATCCCTGGTACCAAAAAATAAATTTAAAAAAACTTACCAAAGCTTTGCAAATTGGTCATCTGAGAATGGGCTGATAAAAACTCAGTTTCCTCTTTCGAAAGGGCGTCTTTGGTAAATTCAAGTTTTACACCGTCTGTTTGTCGTCTTTGAACCTTTGAAAACAACAAGAATAATGACATAAATATATTATCTACTGTTTTAAAATCTTATTAAAGTGACTTTGCATTTAAGACGTTTTTTCAAAAGTACCCAGATTTGAGACAGTCTGATATAAACATTTTTTTCTTCTAGATTATCCCTGTTCGCTTCTGAAAAGTGACTCATATCCTATTCCTTTCATGGCACTAAAATTATGAGCAATGTTAATGTCCAGAAAAAAGTTTATTTTCACAAAAATGAGTGCTCCACAAAATTCTAGTAAAAAGCTCATCACAATATCTGTGACTTCATCTCTGAAATTTCAGTTCACACACAGTAATTTTGTTATTATAGTCAGTAATTTATTTGTCTCTGGAGAGCAGGTGGCAAGCAGGTAACTGACAGATTGTATGTTGCATTTTACAATAAACACAAGGAAGGAAAATAATAAAAACAGATAAACGTTGGCTCATCTCTTTAACTATTAAAACTAGGAAGCAATGTCATATACATGGGTACTAATTTATTCATTCATCAAATATCTAATAATTTATGTGGCTAGCACTATGACACCAGAGAATAAGGACATAAAATCAGTAAAAATAAAAATACAGTGTATCTTCCTTCATAGAATTTATCAACTAGCTGAGGAAATAAAATTAAACCATTCTAAAAAGAACTAAACTATAAAATGTGAATAAAAAGCTAATGAAACAGAAGAAAGACTAATGTGGATCTGTCAAATTCTATACGGGCCTCAATCTTCTAGAGAATGACTTGGAAAGGCCAAAGGAAGAAGGAGTAAGAGCGTTTGTGAGTTACTTTAGGAACAGCCTGGGCTACACAGTACATTCAAGATCAGCCTGAACTACACTGCAAGACCCTGTCTCAAAAGAAAAAAAAAGAAAAGAAAAAGGAGGAAGAGGAGGAAAAGGAGAAGGAAGATGAAGAGGAAGAAGAAAAGAGAAGAAATGTCCTATCTGTAAGTAGTGAAGACAATGATCTTGTTGACAGGGACTTAATTTGGATAAAATGAGGAAATAAAGCATATCTACATCACAGAGGGGAAAGAGCTTGACCTAGCTAGACTGGATGAACAAAGGATACTACAATAGCAGATGGGTAACAGAACAAAAACTATTCCCACAAAGGCTGTTTCACTACTGTTAATTGTGCTCTACCCTACTCCTACCTCCAAGTACATTTCAACAGATTTTCCTTCTACTTTCAAGAGAAAATAAAGATCATTAGGAAAATTCTTAAGTTTCCAGCTCCACGTTCGAATATATTCACTGAACTTACTGAGTAAGAGTTCGCTAAGCCTTCACTGTAGGCTAAGCGCTATGCCAAGAGGGAGAAATAAAGAGGAGATTCCCTGATTCTGAAGGTTTAGAATCTGCTCCAGAAGAGTAAACAAGTAATTACAATAGCTTGAGAATGTGATACAATCAAAAGGGCGTACGAGGAATTATGGGAACATGAGAGACAGAAGGACTATCAAATATGTAATCTTATAGATGCTAGGGAGTGAAGGAAGAAATGTCTAAGTTTAGGAAAACAGGTCAAGAAAATGACACTGAGGGAGTAATGTTTGAACCAACTATAATAAGTAGGAACAAACCAGAGTCCAGTATGTCGCACAATATTAGGCAGAAAGAACTGCATGTAAAAAAGTCTACAGCTGTAAAGACTTGGATTCATTTGGGAAACTAAGTATTTCAATAAGGCTGAGGTGAGGAATAAAAGGTTAGGTAGTGAGGTACTGCAGTCCTGACTCTGATATGCATCCGCAACTGCACCTAATTTATTGTGTTAAAAGTGAAATTTGCTCAGTAACAATTGTGTAGAAGAGTTAATATAGCAGTCCTGAGACTAGCTATCTTTAGTAAGGTCTGCTGGTAAATTCTGTCCTTGGCTGAAATCTGTAAACTTAAGAAGTGAACAGTTCCTTATATAAAACTTTGCCTAAAAGATAAGCATGCGTTAGTATGTCTAGGCTGTCTAAACGTTATCGTTTATGCTGAATACATGTCCACCTGCAAGCTCAGAGTTTGGCATTTCATCTGGAAATCTAGAGTTTGCAGAAGGTCTAACTAACTGATGCATGATAGAGAACTGCGGACTCCTAGGCTTAGCTGAGTTTTTGGTAGGTAACACTTTGCACATGTTGTCAAACTCAAACTGGAGGAATTAAAGTATGT